AAAATAATTGGTTAATTACATATTTGATTAAAATCGCAGAAATTACTAAGAAGGAGAATAAGTTGTCGTTATTTATTCTCAAATTTCATTCCGAAGGGGAAGTTTTCTCTAAAAATTTGGTAAGCTTTTATAATTATTTAATTTTATGTTAAAAGTACGTTATTTAGTAATTAATTCAACCTATTAGTGTTATTTGAAATACATGTCAGTACAAAAAATTTAATATTTAGCTGCTAGTGTAAATGTAACCAATAGAAATTTGTTACAGATAGAAATTAAGCAGGATAAATTTTAATCTTATTATTCATTTTATATGTTTTGATAAATATTTAGGAAGGGAGATATAAAGTTAAATTTAAATTTAGTTAGTTAAAAGTTTGTTAAAAAAATCTACCGCATGCAATTTAAGTTTGAGACCACTGGACTAGGCCTGTCTGGAAGCCTGTCACCTGCACAAATAGTCATCTAAGGCATGGAAATGGCATTTTTCTTCTTTTATGCATGTAACTGTATCATGCAATATTTTTTGTGCTCATGTGGAGTCATTGAGAAGGCACTGCTGAAATCTGCCATTTCCTGATTGCTGCACTTCTGCAGGCTATATAGCTATTAGCAGTCATAAAAAATAGTTACGGGAGATCATTTTCCTACTGACACAAACCCTAGCCATTGGCATATTTTCAGTCTGGCATGCCTTCTTTGATGTATGCTAATTTCATTGACCATGAGTGTATTTAAGTGAATAATTCAGATCTAACATGAGTTCTGATAGAAATGCTTATAACATAGATATTTTGTGATGAGTGTTCCTCAACTGTACCTACATTGAATGATTTTAAGCAGTATATTTTGAAATCATTTTGGATACCTTCAATTTAAAATAGATTATTCAATTGTATTTAATTTGTTTGGTGTTAGTTGTTAAAGTTAATTTGTTTGATGTAGTTTTAAGTTAATATGCTTTGTCTCTAGATGAAGGTTGTTTCGTTGTTTGCAAACCCCATGGTTCCTGTTTGAAATTAATTAAAGAAGTTAGACTTTTAGACTACAGCAACACTGGTCATGTGATAGCTTAATAGAAGCACATGAAATTTAAATTTTTATATGGGTTCCATGAGGATAGAGAAAACATTCAAACAAAAGATTTTTCAAAGCCAAAGTTAAAAAAAATTCCATCCTTAGGATCAAAATTATCTGAGGTAGGTAATATTGTGATTGACTACTACATGCAGATGTTATTAAAGATTTTTACGCTGTAATTTTTAATACCGGTTTCTAAAAAGTACTTTTTACAGCAGCTGAACATTTGCACAAAGTATTAGTTTCAAGTTTCCAGTCATAAAAATATTTATTTACTAAGATTTTTTGTAGAATAAGGGACAGTTTACTGACCTTGAACATTTACCATAGATGCCTTGCATAAAAACTTATTTTGTATACTTTTTCAAGGTGTGTCAAATAACATAAATGTGATCCTGAATCATTTCTTTAAGTGGGCAGTCTGTTAATTCACCTGACTTATTAAGGGTGGTAAATAAGTTTTCCTATATTTAATTCTTCGCTGATACCTTTTTTTGTTCACATTTTCTCAATGCGCCTTCATTAATTTGTAAGGATTATGTTAATTTTCCTAACAGATAAATTTTGAGTTAAAGTTCCTTTCCTGTCTTCCTGAATTTCAACTTACAACTTATGGCCAGAACGTAGTTTTAGAAACATGTTTGAATGCAAATTGAGGAGAAATATTTAACTGCAAAGTTCTACTGTCTTAGTGAGAGAGAACCAGTGATTCTGGCTAACATGCATCTACCTTTTTTAGGCTACTCTCTCTTAAGCTATTATTACGCTCGGCCATATTTTAAGCCCTTGATAGCTTCACCGTTATTCAGCTTTAAGGGGCCAACTCAGTTAGAATTTTGATAGCTACGGTTATATCTTTTTAGTTAAGTTAATTTCTTTGTTTTTGAGTTCAAGCCCGACTGGCGGCTTTATTTTAAAACTCTAAGATGGAGTTCTGTTAAACTTTATTGGAATAATAAAGAATAATTTCACCCTTCTTATGTGTTGTCTCTATATCATGAAGCGATTAGTCGCTTACCACCTCTTAAGATTCTTCAACTTTAACTGTAACTTAAAAGTACACAGTACAGAATCTTACAAATTTTATGAACTTTTTTGTAGTGGGCAAGTGGGTGAGCTCAGTAGTTGATTCAGGGTTCAATTCCTGATGAATGAGCTTGGGACTTTTCTCAGTTTTCCCTATGTGCAGTTTCAATATGAACCAGTGTTTCTTAGAATGCTTTCTTGTTCATGAAGGGATCCCTTCTTTAGACAGTTCCATGCATTGTCATTATCATTTAAAGCAGTGATCACCAAACCATCAGTCGTGAGCCACTAGTAGTTCATGGGGACATTTTTGGTAGGTTGCATCAATGCTCTGATTAGCTAACCTTGATTCCTCCACTGACCTGACAACTGCTTGTTTCTCCTGCAAAATTGCCATTGTCAGCCTTATCTCATAGTTGACTGTATGTGCGTGAGGTTATGCATGTTATGTTTTTCGTGCGTATATTAGACATTTGCTAACTTAGATAGTTTGATTTACGCATTCATGCTAAGCTAGGTCTGTTCTAATGATGGTGTGTTCAAGCAAAAGGCTTATTACTTTCATTTGGAATGGAACACCGATTACTTCTTTACCCAGGTAAAGGACAAATATTTGTATTTACTATGCTACACAAGTGTATCAGTTTGGAAGGAAGGGAATGTCAAACATCACTTCAAAGTCATTCACGCAGGGATTGAAAAGAATTTCCCACTGAATTCTACTCTAAGGAAAGAAAAGGCGGCTAAAATTTAAACGTAATGCTGAACAATCAACTTTTTTCAAACTATTAAAGAAGAATAAAGCAGCAACTGAGGCACCATTCCTGGTTTCAAATATTGCGCAGAATAAGAGATCAAACAAAGAGTGTGAAATAATAAAAACTGCATTTTTAGAAGCTGCAATTGTATTATTTGACGTTTCAAAAATAAAGAGATGTCTGCTGTTAAATCATTGCAGCTTTTTGCAAATTCAATAATGAGAAGGGTTGAGGTTCTGAGTTTTGATGTTACCTCATAACTTAAAATTGACTTTGATCACCACAGCTATTTCTCCCTGCAACTTAACGAATTGAATGATATAGTTGATGCAGCTCAGTTGGCCGCTTTCACAAGAATGGCTTTTGATAATTTCAAAATAAGAGAGGAGCTGGTAAAAATTATACCGTTAACAGGACAGGACAGAACATATTTGTAGCAGTTAAAAATCTTATCAGCTCTGAAAATATTCCTATAAATAAGTTTATGGGCTTGGTTACTGGTGGAGCTCCTGCAGTGGTAGGCAGAGAAAAGGAATTCATAACCGTATGTCATAAAGAAAAGTTTCCGAAATTTCTGTGTTATAGTGTCTTGTGTAATACACCTACCGTCACTGAGTGGAAAGTTTTTAAGTATGAACAATGTAATGAAAACAGTCATAAAAATAGTGAAAAAAGTTAGAGCACATGCAATTTAAAAACATTTATTCAGAGCACTGACTGATGAACTAGATTGCCAGTATGGTGACGTGCTTCATACGGAAGTTCGTTGGTTGAGTAGAGGCAGAGTTTTACAACATTTTCATGAGCTGCTCTGCCTTAATAGAATTTTTAGAAGAGCAAGGCAAATCCTTCCGTTAACTAGAAGATCCGATTTGGCTGCAGGATTTTGCTTTTTTTGCAGACATCTCGAAAAAAATTAAATATCCTTAACTTGTATCTTCAAGGTAAGAATAAAGATATTGGTGGAATAATTTCAGATGTTGCTTCATTCTAAAAAAAGCTGGAACTGTGGGGAAAAATATCGTCCAAGGTGAATACAAACACTTTGTTGTTTGAAACAAACCATTGGCAAAAAAGGGTCATCAACGCATCCATACAACAGCAAACAATACATTTAAATTATTTCAGATTTAGGAAGTGAATTCAACAAACGCTTCTGTAAATTCCAAAAAGATTTCAGTGGTTGCAGTTTGTCAAATCGCCTTGTATAGGGATTGATGCTGAAGAGTTCTTTATTTGTATTATGGAGCATTTTGATTTTCAAGAAGACAATACTGCAGTGGAGTTCGGACTGATTGATTTTCTAAATGATTTATTTGTAAAATCGCTTTCTTCAAGCTCTTAATATAGTTGGCCTCTTGTTCCTAAAGAAAAATACTCACTTTGGGTCCAAGTTTGTTTCAAAGAAAAGGTTGTTCAACTCTACACATCTGTGTGAGATTTCTTTTCCCAGTATGAAATTTATAAAAAATAAGTAAACTTGCTGATGAACACTTGGACCTTGGACAACTGTATTCGAATGGCAGCCACTACCTACTCTCCCAGCATTAAAAAACTTGTTGATGACAAAAAAAAAGTTTACAGCCATCTCATTAAAGTTAATAAGTTTCATGAAGATATTTGTTAGTTATTACTAAATACACTTCAGTTTCTTCTTTATGTACAATTCAATTTCAGTTGCTTTTTATTATACACAGTTTAATTAAAATTGATATCATATTTACTAGAAATGTAAGGTTTTTTTTTAAAAAGTTGGTAGTTCTTTTGATTGGCAGCCGCAGTAGGATTTAAAAATGCTACAGTAGCTGTGAACCTTCGTAAATTTGGCAACCACTGATTTAAAGAATAAATTTCATTAGTAAATATTCAGAGTAAAATTACTTTGGGATTTAAAACATTGTTAACAAATTATTAATTCATATTTTTCATATTTTGATAGTTTAATTTTTTATATATTAACTGTAAATATTCTTTAGATTTAGAAATGTACAGGTTTGCTGAAAATGATTTTGTCATTCTAAAAAGTTGTGGATTTCCTGCAACTTGCTTTAAAATACGAAATGTACTTTTGTTTTAATTTTATATTTTTTTGCTGTCTTCAATTAATATATATTTCTCTTTCTCTACAATGTGTAGGGATCCTTATCCGAAGAAGGTACAAGTTTCATAAGTGATGTTTCAGATGAAGGAACAGAATATACACCTATACCTAGTGGTAATACTTATCATTGTGAGATTGTGTTTTAAAATGATGTTTTAATATTCTAGCAGTGAATTTGTTAAAATGTAAGAAATATTTATATCAAAGTATTTGTTTAATATTTTAACACAAAGAATTTGCTCACAATATTTTATATTTTAAACAATAAATTGAATCATTTGCATTTCAATAGCTGCTGAAGTGATATTGTTACACGCATATGTGTTTGTAGATTAAATGCACACAAAACCGATGATAACTTGATAAAATTCGTTTTCCTAAAAGAACACATTATAATTCTGAATTTTTCACAAAAGTTCAAAAGTACTGTTAGAGCTCTTCTCAATATGACAGCACAATCAATAGTTACGACTTCAAGCTACTAAGAATGTTAAACACATCTTAAAAGCGAACCTCGCATGGAGATCTCTCAATACTCTGAAGTAACAAATGAGAATTGATATTCTCTCCTATTTTCTTTTAATTTTTTAAGGTTCTTGAGTGATACGCTGTAGTATAAAACATTGCTCCCTACCAAAGGAGTAAGTACACTTGCTGTAATTTGAAAACACAAGACTTAATCGGTGTTATCCTTGAGCTTCACAAAATTTGTCGAATTTATTTCGTCAGGCAGCTACTTGGCAGCATAATAAATTATGTGGGATACTGTGCTAGATACTTGTTAGAATCTAGTCTTCCCTAGCCATATCCTGCAGCGTGTTTCTGTGCCTTGAAATCTCCACACCGCACTCGAATGATTCATGGCTATTAGCCTTGTTCATAAGGCACACTAGAATGACACACGGTCTTCACCACCTCCGGGAGGGCACCATACCATGGAAGGTTTCTACTGCAAGATTATGTACTTTACTGTCTTCTGCTCAGTGCAGCCGCAAGGAAAAAAATGTAAATTTTCAACTACTCCAGACTTATAGTTTTATCCCAGCTGCCGATAAATTTCCAGTGCCTTCGATTTCTCAAAATTTCTAGAAGGCGTACACAGTTAGTTGTTTATGGCCAGATTTGATTACAGTTATGCACAGGGACCAGACAGATTTGGGACCAGACCTAAATGGTCACCACATTTAGCGAGTTTTGTCAATTTCTCTCCAGTTTTACGTGGTAGCCTTAATAATAAGTAGACCTACCTCTGTAATCTTATTTTTTGGTTAAAACCTCATATTTTTGAGGAATTTCATGTTACATTATAGAAGAAATGCTACAATTTTACATGATGTTGTATATATTCAAATAATTTAGCTTAAATTATTTATATATATATTCAAAATTTATAACAGTATGAACTTTTTATTTCACATGTTTGCTACAGCAGTAACCTTTTTCAGAGTTAGCATTTCAGATGGGTCACAGATATTACCATTAGTTTTTTTACTATTCATGTCATTTGTATTGTAATTCAGAAATCTATTCATGGTCTTTGAGTTTAAAAGTGTGATTGTTCTTAGATTTGCTCAGGAACAAACTGCATGTGAGAATATGAATGATGCAAATTTTAAAAAGGTAAATTTTTAATGGATTAGATTAAGTACTGTAACTTGCGGCATAGTAAAAACTATAACAAAATGTACATATTTTGAGCAATAACAAATTTCTTTTATGCTCTGAAAAATTTACCTTATTAAGAAACTAAAAAATATCTTTATTACCTCTCATTATGTGATTATCTGAAAATTTGAAGAGCCATAATACTGATTTTTTTCATAGATTTCAAGGTTATTGCCAAAAATTTCTTTTAATTATACAGGATGGTCATAAAATGAACTCTCCCAATATATGAACAACCGCTAGCAGCCTCACTGCTAGCAGCCTCACTGTTATTCAGACACTGTTATTTGAAGGTATGCATTTGAAATTGTGATGATGTAAAACAATAGAGCTTTCACGATTAGGGTGACAGCCAAAAATTTTGAAATTTTGAGATGGCAACACCAAATATTTTCCTGTGCAAATTGATCAGCACATTGAAAATCCATCAATGACATTGGAATGATGTACATATGACGAATATTGCCAGAGTTAAAATTTTCAAAGAAGAGCATTGTTAAAGGACCAAAGATGACACAGAGGAGGTGCATTGATGCACTTTGCATAATTCACAATGGTAGACAGTAGAAGCACCAATCACAGAACACCATGTACAAAGCAGTGCATGTGAAAAACCTTTAATAAGTACTGTAGAAGATTGTTTCTTCAATCACATGTCTCAAAAACCTTTAATAAGTACTGTGGAAGAATTCTTCAATCACATGTCTTGAACATGATAAGAAGATAGTGCTTACAGGGAAGTAATGAGGTGAATTCATAAAGCTGTTTTATGTGAGCAGAGAGAATGCTCTTGAAGCAATGTGAGTTTGCTGGCGAAATCATAGGCTAAGAGGAGGCTTATGTTCTGTAAAAATTGTACATAATTCCATAAAAAAGATAAGAAATTGGATGCATATATGAACCATAATCCAGACAACCATGTATTTCTATTGAAGTCATTGTGGAAGTACATAATGTAAATACTGCAGGTCCGTTGCATGCTGCAAGAATTGTTGCCCGTAGTTTGGAGGTACCAAAAATCAGTCTTCAAGCTTGCTTCACAACACAGCCTCAATCACAGTGCTTTGTTTGGTGGTGGTTTCTTATTGATTCCAGTCCGTCTGGAAGTTGCAATCTGAAGATAAGCAACAGCGTGTCAACTTCATAAATTGTTTTTATCATATGTGTAGAAGATAGCAGGTGGCTGCTGGGGATGTTATGGACTGATGAGCCACGTTTCTCCATAATTGAGAGCATAAATTACAAAGAAAGCATTCATTGGGTTGACAAAAATCCTCATGATATGGCACCAGCACTTTTACTGTGTGGTGCAGCATCGCAAGCATATTCGTCCTCAGTGTGTATTTCTTTGAAAAGGTCACTTACACAGGTATGAAAACATGATTCATCGCAAGTGTGCAGTGTACAACAGTGTTGCATAATTGCAGTTGTGAAATGTAATTAATGGCTCTGTATGGATGCAAGATGGTGCTCCTTCACATGTCGCCACATGTGGTCTTCAGATGCTGCAACAGCGCTTTATAAATAGTCATTTCCTATAACTTTGCAGTGTCATGACAACTGCAATCCTCCAACCTTACTCTGGTGGATTTCTGGTTCTAGGGTTATCTGAAATCCAAGATGTATGCATCAAATCTATAAAATTTGTCAGAATTGAACAATGCTTTAAAACATGAAGTTATATAGATTCCTCTTGCAACGTGACTTTCATCATCATTGTCAGCAATCATACGTATGAAATGTGTTATCATCTGGGAAAGTGGGCACTTTGAAAATCTGTAATTCCATTAAAAGTTTTCTTCCCTCTCATCTGTTGTGTTGTCATTTATCATTTATAGTGCTCTTTGCAAATTTTTTATGCCAGCAACTTTCATCATACATGTATCATTCAAACCCTATGAATGTTTTTTGATGCCCTGAGCAGTTTGTGCAGAAAAAAATATGGGTGTTACCATTAAAAAATTTTTTTCCCATAACATCTCTATTGTTTATATCATCACAATCTTGAGCGCATACCTTCAAATAACAATATCTGAAATCTCATTTCAATTGGTGGAGTGGTTAGGCTGCAGCCATTTATATATCGGAGATTTTTTTATGACCACCCCGTTTGTAACTGTCTTAATGACATGTAGATTACTTATAATTCTTTAAATTTTGTTACTTTCTTATATCTTTGTTTTATATAAAAATAAAAATAATTTTAAGCTAGTTTGTAGCTTTGGTGATGATTATGTTTTTGGATCAATTTGCTGTCTGTAATATGTCTGTTATAATTCACGTCAGTGAGCTTTAATGATGACTTATTCTGCTGACAGTTATATTTCTCAGCAGCGGCCAGATTTCACTTCCTGTGTTCTGAAAAAGTACCGGAACTCAAAGAACAATAAATTTGTGAACACAAAGATTGCTTCGGCATTGGAATTAATTTCAACAAATTCAAAATAAATGCAACAAAATCAAATTGTATATTTTTTGATTTGTCAGAATATTACAATAAAGACTGTGATTATGCACATAATATTTTTCTGAATGAAAGGAAGGTAATTTTGATGAAGGAGAGCATGTTTGAAAAGTCTGGGAAATAAGAAATATGTTTCACGCTTCTGCAAAAGTAATGTAACTTGTGATCAGTGTTCAGGAAAAGATTCACCATTAATGTCTTTTTCTAAATACAAACAGAAGTCTAAGGATATAGTTAATGAATCAGGTGAAAACACAATCCTCATGAAGCAGATTTTATTTTCAAATTTATTTAGAAAATGGTTCAGTTGGTGTATACAAAAACTTTCTAAAGGGCTGATATCCATTTACACATGTTTGGGTTGGAACAGTAATGAGGAAAACTAATAAGCAAAGTTAAAGAATAATAGCTCGATGTTAGAGTTATCTGTTCACATAAATAATGCGTATCAAGTCTGTGAAATCTGTGGAATTTTGATACATTAGAGATGAAAGGTGTGAGTGACGAAAGCACGAAAGTAAAAACTCAAGAAATTATATTGAAACAGTTTAAGATACAGTAAGCAAAGATGATTCTGGAAGGTATGGAATTTGTTTACCATGGCTGGAGGATCATCCACCTTTATCTGGTAACAGAGATTTAGCCTACCAAAAACTTAGAAACACTTTGAAGTCCCTTAATGCTGTAAATGAATTGAAAGATTATCAAAATGTATTTTATGAATGGAAAAAGGAAGGTATTATAGAACACATTGATCCTAATCAAGTTGAAACTGATGTAGAAATGTTGTGTCGGCATTATACGCCGCATAAAACAATTTTCAGAGAAAACTGAACAACTAAAGTACAGCTAGTTTTCAGTGGGTCTGCAAAAATTAGAAATAGTGTATCATTGAATGAAAGCTTAGAAGAGGGGCCGAATTTAATCGAGATCATACCGTCATTCTCAATTGATTTAGATGGAGGCAAATTTGAATTTGTTGCTG